CCAGAAATGGACCCACAAACATATGGCCAACTAATCTTTGACAAAGCAGAAAAGAATATCCAATGGAATAAAGACAGTTTCTTCAGCAAATGGTGTTAGGAAAACTGGACAGCAATATGCAGAAGAATGAACCTGGACCATGTCATTACACCATACACAAAAATAAACTCAAAATGGATGAAAGACCTGAACATAAGACAGGAAGCCATCAAAATACTCAAGGAGAAAGCAGGCAAAAACCTCTTTGACCTTGGCCACAGCAACTTCTTACTCAACATGTCTCTGGAGCCAAGGGAAACAAAAGCAACAATGAACTACTGGGACTCCATCAAGATAAAAACCTTCTGCATGGCGAAGGAAACAATCAGCAAAACTAAAAGGCAACCGATGGAATGGGAGAAGATATTTGCAAATAACATATCAGATACAGGGTTAGTATCTAAAATCTATAAAGAACTTATTAAATTCGGGGCGTCTGGGTGGCGCAGTCGGTTAAGCGTCCGACTTCAGCCAGGTCACGATCTCGCGGTCCATGAGTTCGAGCCCCGCGTCGGGCTCTGGGCTGATGGCTCAGAGCCTGGAGCCTGCTTCCCATTCTGTGTCTCCCTCTCTCTCTGCCCCTTCCCCGTTCATGCTCTGTCTCTCTCTGTCCCCAAAATAAATAAACGTTGAAAAAAAAATTTTTTTTAAACTCAATACCCAAAAATCAAATAATCCAGTGAAGAAATGGGCACAAGACATGAATAGACACTTTTCCAAAGAAGACATCAAGATGGCTAATAGATACATGAAAAAATGCTCAGCATCACTCATCATCAGAGAAATACAAATCAAAACCACCATGAGATACCACCACCTGTCAGAATGGCTAAAATTAGCAACCCGGACAATGACAGATGTTGGTGAGGATGCGGAGAAAGACGAACACTTTTGCACTGCTGGTGGGAATGCAAACTGGTGCAGCCACTCTGGCAAACGGTATGGAGTTTCCTCAAAAAATTAAAAATAGAACTACCCTACGACCCAGCAATTGCACTACTAGGTATTTATTCAAAGGATACATGTGTGCTGTTTCAAAGGGGCATGTGCTCTCCAATGTTTATAGCACTGCTATTGACAATAACCAAAGTATGGAAAGAGTGCAAATGTCCATCGACAGATGAATGGATAAAGAAGTTGTGGTATATATGTACAATGGAGTATTACTCGGCAATCAAAAAGAATGAAATCTTGCCATTTGCAACTACATGGATGGAACTAGAGTGTATTATGCTAAGTGAAATTAGCCAGAGAAAGACAAATATATGACTTCACTCATATGTGGAATTTAAGATACAAAACAGATGAACATAGGGGAAGGGAAACAAAAATAATATAAAAACAGGGAGGGGGACAAAACATAAGAGACTCTTAAATACAGAGAACAAACTGAGGGTGGCTGGAGGGGTTGTGGGTGGAGGGATGGGCTAAATGGGCAAGGGGTATTAAGGAGGACACTTGTTTGGATGAGCACTGGGTGCTATGTGTAGGGAATGAATCACTGGATTCTACTCCTGAAATCATGATTGCACTATATGCTAACTAACTGGGATGTAAATTTTAAAAAATAAATAAAATAGAAAAAAACCTAATAAATAAATAAAAACATCTTTCCTTGTTACAAACAAATCACCTGCACTCATTATAAGTCCATAGATGGCTCCCTTCTCCGGCCAGGAATAAATTCTGTCTCATTTAAAAATCCCAATACACGGGGCGCCTGGGTGGCGCAGTCGGTTAAGCGTCCGACTTCAGCCAGGTCACGATCTCGCGGTCCGTGAGTTCGAGCCCCGCATCGGGCTCTGGGCTGATGGCTCAGAGCCTGGAGCCTGTTTCCGATTCTGTGTCTCCCTCTCTCTCTGCCCCTCCCCCATTCATGCTCTGTCTCTCTCTGTCCCAAAAATAAATAAACGTTGAAAAAAAAAATTTAAAAATCCCAATACACCAATTGCTCCTCCTTCAAGCTCTCGGCATATAAGAACAAAGGGTTCCCCGTGGCTCTGCAAGGGGCCTGAAGCGAGGGGAAGTATAGAGCAGGAACTGGCCCCTGAGAGACTAAATTTACAGTGTGGGGTATCCAGGGATGCATGCTTGAACCAAAACTGCCCAAGGCAGCATGACGCTTCCAGTCCGAATCTCATGGACTGCTGCTTCTAGGCTACCCCAGCTACTAATGCTCAGTGATGGCTGAATTTAACTGCTTTTTGCTCCAGCTCAGCGCCAAGGCCCGGGTAGAAATAATCCTTTTATCTCTCAATAAAGGAGAATTACTGGCATTTTGTAGCTCAGCTCTCTTTGAAGGGCCATCTTGAGAAGCTGGAGCCTTTGCGTTTCCCTGAGTGGTCAGATTAAAGACGGTTTTCCCTGATCTCGTTGGGAGATTAAAGGGCAGGTAGTTGATTATATTGTCACCCAGTTGCCCCCTGGAAAGTACTGCAAGTTTCCATTTTAAAAGGATTTCAGAGTGCAAATGTCATGCTCAAGAACTTTTCTGAAAAACAAAGTCTTCAGAACCATATTGTTTCAAAGCCAGCTGTTACTCCAGCAAATGGGAATACTTCGAAAGGATATAATTTGGTCGGCTGTATTTCTTACTTGCCTCCCATGGGTAAAATCCTTCCGGGATAAGTTTTGGATGTATATAATTCCTGTAAACAGGTAACAACATTGTATAATAGACTATCTAAATGTAGTAATACCTTCTGTTCACTTCCATAAAGGTGGTTCATATTCCTCCTGAAATACTGTTAAAACTTTACTCATCTCAGTTAATAAGAGAATTGATATTCTCAGCATAGGGTTGACACCTTAAATACATTATTTTAGGTCAATATTCAAAACTCTGACTTTGGTGTTTATGCCTCATTTTTTAAATTGGGAAACTGAGGCTGGGAACGGTCAGCATTTTGCCTCAGGTTGCACAGCTGGTAATTGGTAGAGCTGGAACGTGTAATCGGTTCTGACCTTGAAGCCTATATCCTTCCCAGGATGCCACCTTAGAAATCAGGGTTTTTCAACCTTGACACTACCGGTATGTGCGGCTGGATAATTCTTTTTTGCTGTCCTCTGCATCTTAAGATGTTCAACAACATTCCTGGCCTCTACACACTAGAGGCTGCTAGCAGCCTCCCATACATCGAGACAACCAAAAATGTGTCCAGACATAGCCAAATGTAACCCTGGGGAGCGATATTGCCTGTAGTTTAGATCCACTGCTGTAAATGCTTCTGAAGCGTTTGCTTCCTTCCACCACTGAAGCCTTGTGGTTCTGTGAAAAGCACAGAATAATTGGAAGCCATAATAGTACCTGAGAGTGGCCTTGCGAGGTATACATTAAGAAATAAAAAAATCAATTATAATTAGCATTTCAGTTTATTGCCCATAAAAGAGCCCCTTATTCCTATTATTCCTGATAACAGTTTGTTCACTCCAGTGAGTAAATGCTCACACTGTGAAAAGACTCAGAAACTTCAGAGGCTTGCGACCAGCTCAGAAATTCAGACCAGACTCCTCTTGAAGACATTTTAGGTCTCCCCATTTTGGCCTCAGTTTTCCCCACTCCAAAGCCAACATTCTTTCAGGCTCCAGCCAAGTGAGGGGACTCCACCATGATCCAAATACATCCGACATTTTCTTGTTTCCGTGTCTTGGCTGAGGACTCCGTTTCATGAGTCTTTCCTGCCCCCAGCTCTACCTTTGGAATCTCTGCATCTGCCCCGCAGCCTCCTCAGCATCGTGGTGGGGTCCTTATCTCATGACAGGTGTGCTATGCTGTTTGGATTGGGCTGGGTTGGACTGAAGAGGGGCTAGAATAAGAAGTGCAAATGTAAATTTCACACCAGTTTCCATGGGTTTAAAATAAATTTCAAATGTGGAATCTGAACAATGTAGTGAGGACAAGCAAGCACAGCAGTTGGTTTGTAATATACAACTGTCCTGCCCCATGTGACAGGGGCCCTGGGTAGGCTTTTGACCTGGACCACTGCCAGGGTTGTACCCATCAAGCCCTAATCAGTGGCATCCCAGGGATGTGTGGGATTGGCATCCCATCCTCACTGAGGGTATGCTGGGACAGGGCTGTGTGCATGCAGAGGAAGGCACCTTTTCCCAGTTTTTACAAAGGTGTCCTATTGCCTGGCAGAAGCTCTGACAATAAAAACTCCTCCACAGCATCAATGGACCCTGTGTCCAACACCTCCAATCCCAAAGTTGCCATCTACACACTCCTTTTACTAAGAGCTATCTCTCTGAACTCTGTCCACCCTAATCAACTTTAATTTTACCACTACTTTTTAACGAGAGAGAGGTTTATATTGATTGATTCAACAAATATTTATTAATCATTCACTAAGCTTAGAGGATACAGGAATGTAAAAAAACCAAGTCCTTGCTCCATCAAGTTCATATTCTAGTGGACTCTTATATTTCTCCTTCATGTATTTACCATCAAACAATAGCCCACATAGAATTAAATTATAACCAGGCTCCTACTTGGGACAGTTTTTTTTTTTTTTTTTGTCTTTGTTTTATTTTTAATATCCCTGGCTTGAGCTTTTGTTGAGAGTGGAGTTTCTGAGTGAGATGTATGAGTTAGTTTGGGGTAACCATTCTAAGACAATGGTTTCACCCTAAGTTGCTAAAGTGACTAGATGGGTATGTTAGCATTGCCCCCGGCCAATTCTGGGTTTGAAGGCTAATTCTAGCTTCCGCTGACTCAGGGCATTCAGCCATGACTCAAGAGAGTCTGGATGTCCGGATGCATTTGCATTTTATATCAAGTTGCAAACTGAGCAGTTTCCAGCATCTGGCCCAGAGCTGTCTTTACTCTGAAAATGTCCAGGAGGTCCTCCTTGGAAGAGGTGAGTGGGATACAAGTGGTCCCGTGACAGCTGTGGGTCTAGCCTGTGATGTTCCTGTTGGCAACAACAATTTCATTTCACAATGCCCTTTTGTATCTACAGATGGAAAGCTGTGCACCAGTTACAACCGAGGGCTCATCTCAAAGGCAAAAATCAAGGCCATCAAGTATAGCATTGTCATCGTTCTTGGTAAGCAAAGTCCCTCTTTGTGTTGTAGAACTGGGTGAACATTCCAAAAGCAAACTTGCACCTGGGAGCTGGTAGTGGAGAGCCCACGCAAGAAAGGAATTTGTCTGCAGGCACTGCCAGCTTTGTCTGACTGGAGCGGAGCGTGTGGAACTTGCCATACACCATCTGCATCTCCTTTAAGGGCAGACATTGGTGCCTGATGCCTCCCTGTATGACTAGAGTAGCCTACCAAGACCATGGGGTGGATAATTTGGAGAAAGTCGATTAAGACATAACTAGCTGATCTGAAATCATTATTATACTACATGTTAACTAATTTGGATTTAAATTAAAAAAAGAAAAAAAGACATAGCTAGCTGGATGATGTTCACCATACCCAGTTGACCCAGTTGCATTCTCTAAGACATACTCCCCCTGGAGCTGAAGTATATGGGCAAAGTAAAGACAGAAGTGACATTCCAATTCTTCTGGATATATAACTGCAGAGTCACTACAAATCTCTCCCTAATGGTCAATTTACCTTCTCCCCCATCATCCTATCTTCTTTCCTTTCCTTTTATTTTCCTTTTCTCTTTTTTTTTTAATGTTTATTATTTTTGAGAGAGAGAGACAGAGAGCAAGCAGGGAAAGAGCAGAGAGAGGGGGAGACACAGAATCGGAAGCAGGCCCCAGGCTCTGAACTGTCAGCGTAGAGCCCAATGCAGGGCTCAAGCTCACAGACCACGAGATCATGACCTGAGCTGTAGTCAGCTGCCCAACTGACTGAGCCACCCAGGCACCCCTTTTCTCTTTACTCTTAAGACCAATAAAGTCACCTCACCTTAGGGGGGAAAAAAGATATTTCTAGAGCACATAGTATGTGTTGATTGGTGTGTATTCTTCATTATTCTCAAACCATCAAAGCTTCCTCCCTCTTACGCCCTCTCAACTAATGACCTTGCTTCCTATTTCACTAAGAAAATACTGTATCAGAATAGAACTCCTTCACCTTTGCGGCAGCCTGCCAGCCAAGCAGAGACCCCGAGTCTGGAGTGCAAAAGCGGAGGGGCTGGACGGAGTGTTCTGACAGCAAGTGGGACTTAACATCTGGAAGGTTATAAGTTAACAGCTCTGCTCAGAGAGCGGGAAGGCTGGGGGACAACGGGAGGGAGAGTTGCTGAGCCCCGGGGACGACAGAGCTCAGCTTGGTGGGGAACAAAGGCGCTCGCCAGCGCCATCTCCACCGTCCATCCCCAGCCAAAATCCCAAAGGGAACCAGTTCCTGCCAGGGAACTTGCTTGCACCACACAAACACCCAACGCCATGCTTCTGCAGATCCAGTGCTTCTGCGGATCCATCCCTCCGGTGGCAGGTCTGACTCCCTCCCGGTGGCACAGGGCCCCTCCCAAAATGGATCACCGAAGGATAAGAAAGCTGAGCCAGCCCCTCCTGCCCCTGTGCACCTTGCTGATCCACCCCAGCTAATACGCCAGATCCCCAGCACCACAAGCCTGGCAGTGTGCAAGTAGCCCAGACGGGCCACTCCACCCCACAGTGAATCCCGCCCCTAGGAGAGGGGAACAGAAGTACACACCAGTCTGACTGTGGCCCCAGCGGTGGGCTGGGGGCAGACATCAGGTCTGACTGCGGCCCCACCCACCAACACAAGTTATTCAAGACAGCACAGGGGAAGTGCCCTGCAGGTCCTCACCACGCCAGGGACTATCCAAAATGACCAAGCGGAAGAATTCCCCTCAGAAGAATCTCCAGGAAATAACAGCTAATGAGCTGATCAAAAAGGATTTAAATAATATAACAGAAAGTGAATTTAGAATAATAGTCATAAAATTAATCGCTGGGCTTGAAAACAGAATAAAGGACAGCAGAGAATCTCTTGCTACAGAGATCAAGGGACTAAGGAACAGCCAGGAGGAGTTAAAAAATGCTATAAACGAGCTGCAAAATAAAATGGAAACAACCACGGCTCGGATTGAAGAGGCAGAGGAGAGAATAGGGGAACTAGAAGATAAAATTATGGAAAAAGAGGAAGCTGAGATAAAGAGAGATAAAAAAATCCAGGAGTATGAGGGGAAAATTAGAGAACTAAGGGTTGCACTAAAGAGAAATAATCTACACATAATTGGTATTCCGGAGGAGGAAGAGAGAGGGAAAGGTGCTGAGGGTGTTCTTGAAGAAATCATAGCTGAGAACTTCCCTGATCTGGGGAAGGAAGAAGGCATTGAAATCCAAGAGGCACAGAGAACTCCCTTCAGACGTAACTTGAATCGATCTTCTGCACGACATATCATAGTGAAACTGGCAAAATACAAGGATAAAGAGAAAATTCTGAAAGCAGCTAGGGATAAACTTGCTCTAACATATAAAGGGAGACCTATAAGACTCGTGACCGATCTCTCTACTGAAACTTGGCAGGCCAGAAAAGAATGGCAGGAGATCTTCAATGTGATGAACAGAAAAAATATGCAGCCGAGAATCCTTTATCCAGCAAGTCTGTCATGTAGAATAGAAGAAGAGATAAAGGTCTTCCCAAACAAACAAAAACTGAAGGAATTCGTCACCACTAAACCAGCCCTACAAGAGATCCTAAGGGGGATCCTGTGAGACAAAGTACCAGAGACATCACTACAAGCATGAAACCTACAGACATCACAATGACTCTAAACCCATATCTTTCTATAATAACACTGAACGTAAATCGACTAAATGCGCCAACCAAAAGACATAGGGTATCAGAATGGATAAAAAACCAAGACCCATCTATTTGCTATCTATAAGAGACTCATTTTAGACCTAAGGACACCTTTAGATTGAGAGTGAGGGGATGGAGAACTATTTATCATGCTACTGGAAGTCAAAAGAAAGCTGGAGTAGCCATACTTATATCAGACAAACTAGACTTTCAATTAAAAGCTGTAACAAGACATGAAGAAGGGCATTATATAATAATCACAGGGTCTATCCATCAGGAAGAGCTAACAATTATAAATGTCTATGCACTGAATACGGGAACCCCCAAATATATAAAACAATTACAAACATAAGCAACCTTATTGATAAGAATGTGGTAATTGCAGGGGACTTTAACACTCCACTTACAGAAATGGATAGATCATCTAGACACACGGTCAATAAAGAAACATGGGCCCTGAATGATACTTTGGATCAGATGGACTTGACAGATATATTTAGAACTCTGCATCCCAAAGCAACAGAATATACTTTCTTCTCGAGTGCACATGGAACATTCTCCAAGATAGATCACATACTGGGTCACAAAACAGCCCTTCATAACTATACAAGAATTGAAATCATACCATGCATACTTTCAGACCACAATGCTATGAAGCTTGAAATCAACCACAGGAGAAAGTCTGGAAAACCTCCAAAAGCATGGAGGTTAAAGAACACCCTACTAAAGAATGAGTGGGTCAACCAGGCAATTAGAGAAGAAATTAAAAACTATATGGAAACAAACAAAAATGAAAATACAACAATCCAAACGCTTTGGGATGCAGCGAAGGCAGTCCTGAGAGGAAAATACATTGCAATGCAGGCCTATCTCAAGAAACAAGAAAAATCCCAAAAACAAAATCTAACAGCACACCTAAAGGAAACAGAAGCAGAACAGCAAAGGCAGCCTAAACCCAGCAGAAGAGCAATAATAAAGATCAGAGTAGAAATAAACAATATAGAATCTAAAAAAACTGTAGAGCAGATCAACGAAACCAAGAGTTGGTTTTTTGAAAAAATAAACAAAATTGATAAACCTCTAGCCAGGCTCCTCAAAAAGAAAAGGGAGATGACCCAAATAGATAAAATCATGAATGAAAATGGAATTATTACAACCAATCTCTCAGAGATACAAGCAATTATCAGGGAATACTATGAAAAATTATATACCAACAAACTGGACAACCTGGAAGAAATGGACAAATTCCTAAACACCCACACACTTCCAAAACTCAATCAGGAGGAAATAGAAAGCTTGAACAGACCCATAACCAGCGAAGAAATTGAATCAGTTATCAAAAATCTCCCAACAAAAAAGAGACCAGGACCAGGCTTCCCAGGGGACTTCTACCAGACGTTTAAAGCAGAGATAATACCTATCCTTCTCAAGCTATTCCAAAAAATAGAAAGGGAAGGAAAACTTCCAGACTCATTCTATGAAGCCAGTATTACTTTGATTCCTAAACCAGACAGAAAATCAGTAAAAAAAAGAGAACTACAGGCCAATATCCCTGATGAATATGGAGGCAAAAATTCTCAATAAGATACTAGCAAATCGAATTCAACAGCATATAAAAAGAATTATTCACCATGATCAAGTGGGATTCATTTCTGGGATGCAGGGATGGTTCAACATTCGCAAATCAATCAACATGATACATCACATTAATAAAAGAAAAGATAAGAACCATATGATCCTGTCAATCGATGCAGAAAAGGCCTTTGACAAAATTCAGCAACGTTGCTTAATAAAAACCCTCGAGAAAGGCGGGATAGAAGGAACATACTTAAAGATCATAAAAGCCATTTATGAAAAGCCCACAGCTAACATCATCCTCAATGGGGAAAAACTGAAAGCTTTTTCCCTGAGGTCAGGAACACGACAGGGATGTCCACTCTCACCGCTGTTGTTTATCATAGTGTTGGAAGTTCTAGCATCAGCAATCAGACAACAAAAGGAAATCAAAGGCATCAAAATTGGCAAAGATGAAGTTAAGCTTTCACTTTTTGCAGATGACATGATATTATACATGGAAAATCCGATAGACTCCACCAAAAGTCTGCTAGAACTGATACATGAATTTAGCAAAGTGGCAGGATACAAAATCAATGTACAGAAATCAGTTGCATTCTTATATGCACTAATAATGAAGCAGCAGAAAGACAAATAAAGAAACTGATCCCATTCACAATTGCACCAAGAAGCATAAAATACCTAGGGATAAATCTAACCAAAGATGTAAAAGATCTGTATGCTTAAAACTATAGAA